GGCTTTTGGATTTCAACCCTGACTGGAGAAAGATGGTTGCTGTCCTCCCAGCCTCCACATGGCAAGAAGGGATGCTTTGTGTCCCCCCCCCTTTGGCACCTCCAGCTCAGGCTGCTCCTGCACCACCTGCCTAACCCTGGGGATGAGGATCCCAGGGAGGAGGTGACAAACAGTTCCTGACTAACCCCAAGCTGTGGGACGCTGCTGGGGAGCCCCAGCTCTGCCCTAAATGCCCCCATGAGAGGGCCCAGGGGTGTGTCTGGCACTCCCCTTTCCTTTCTACCAACTTTGGTGCCAACAGGGACAGAGCAGGGGAATGACTCCCATCGTTCCTGTTCCCATGCACAGGGGACTCTTGGGGAGGGGGACAGGATTCTGCACCAGTGTCCAATGGTACAATGGAGGCACAGTGGTGAGCCAGCCTCACCCCCACAATGTCCCTGATCCACTGCTCCTCCCCAGCTCCTCCCCTCAACACGTAGTTTCTCTTCCCCTTCCCACGCTGGGAGTGAAGGCAGAACTGAAACCACAGCTGAGGGGAAATGTGAGGGGTGCACCTCAGTATGTCCAAACACGAAACCCCTTCCTCTTGATGGAAGAGAATGGACAGAGTGCTCCAGGATCAATATGATCAGGCAAATGTCAGGTTTATTAGGAAAAAGACAGATTATATAGTGCTCATGACGCTTAGCTTCTTGTTCACACAACATTGGTTACATAAGGAAAACACAGTGTGGTGTACAGCACTAACTGGATAACTGCAGGTGACCATAGAACTTGTTTTCTTGCCAAAAGAACTCCTCCTTCACCTTGGCACAAGGCCTGCAGCCATATTAGTGGCGCAGCATTTTTTATTATCTGCACCCAGCCATGCCAAGGTAAAACACACAGAAATGTAAAGGAAATTGTTCACACAATTTTTGCCTTACGACACCTTCCCTTCCATGGAACTGTCCCAGTGAGAAATAGGGATGCTGTGGTGGCCTGGTGTGCGAGTTCCGAGCTGGCTTCCTACCAAGTCTCTGAAACTTGACAACAAAGGCCTGCTTCCCAGAGAGGGAATTAAAAACCCAGCAGCCAAAGCCATAGCAAAAATATATATATTTTACATATAAGACAGATATGTACAATGAGAATATTATATACTATAACCCCAGAAACCCTAAATAGCTCCCTAAAAGGGAAGAGGCGGAGGGAGAAGGGAAAAGGACAAAATAGGACAAAAAGGGGCAAGAACCAAACAAGTCTACACAATCTAAAAACCCGGTAACCAGCAAACTGAAGAACTATCAAAATCTCACCACTTCCCTTGAGAGAAGCAGATGGCTGGACACGGCCCAGCACTGTCCCCTCACGCGTGGCAGATAACAGCAGTCACTGTAGGCCTCAGCTCCAGATAAGCCAGACCGAGACAGGGACCCACC